GGTGCATCAATCATATGAAAAACAAATGTAATTTTTCTGGAGTCACAAATCTTAGAATTTGACCTTAAATGAAATGAAAATATTTGAAGAAGGCTATTCAAGGAAATAAAGATTTTGGTGCATCAATCAAATAAAAAACAATTGTAATTTTTTTGGAGTAACAAATCCTAGAATTTTACCCTAAATAAAATGAAAATATTTAAAGAAGGCTATTCAAGGAAATAAAGATTTTGGCGCATAAATCAAGTACAAAACAAATGTATTTTTTCTGAAATCACAAATCCTAGAATTTTACCTTAAATGAAATGAAAATATTTAAAGAAGGCTATTCAAGAAAATAAAAATTTTGGTGCATAAATCAAATACAAAACAAATGTAATTTATCTGGAGTAACAAATCCTAAACTTTTACCCTAAATAAAATGGAAATATTTAAAGAAGGAGCTACTAAAAAAAGTAAAGTTCGAAAATGATTGATCTAAATTATCCCATTTAAATAGTGAACTCTACCAATAGCAACATGCTACCGATTTCGATACGAGTAGCGTCGTAAGAAATTTGCAATCGTTCATAACGGAAGTTATCGAGCTGCGTACGAAGTCTCGAGGGATCGCGTTCGTAAATCGTTCGCCGAAGAAAGGTCCACGGAGAAAAATCGAATCCCGGCGAGTGGCCCGAGCGCGGTCAAACGGTTAATAAAATATCAATCCCCGTCAGCGTTGAAGAGTCGATAAACCAAGTTGCAATTTTAATTTCGCCCGGGCAACCGGCAATTGAGAGAGGGGTTGCGCATCGGGATACTCACGGATACGACGCAAAGATCGTTCGCAGCACTGTAAACCCGTCGCTCGTAAACCTTAATTCACCGCGAAGGTAGAACACTGGCCCGAGCAGAAGGGAAGGAAGGAGGCGGCCACGAGAGACAAAAGAAAAGGCAGATGGCCACGGTAGAATCTATGGTGGCAAGAGAACCCGGCGCGTGTAATTATCAGCCAGATCGCTATTCGAATGGATGAATTATATCGTCGCGGTCTGCGGTGCATCGAATGCGCGCTGCCAGCCCCGAGGGTCGCTCGTACGAGGAATTGACACTCGGAGCTATGCAATTATTAATGTCTCATTTGCATTGGGGATAGATCGGACGCTTTATTGGCAGCTTATTCCGCGACCTCTTTTTCTTCCTTCCTTTCTTCCCGTGGAATTTGCTCCGGTTCGCGCGACACTCCTAATTAGCCACGGGATCAACCACCTTGCCTCGAATCCTCGCTAGTCAGATCCGTACTTCATTTTAGTTATAATTTTTGGGAAATAGCTTGCACTTCGTAACCCTTTTCCCTAAAACTTTGGGAGCCACTTAATTAGCAAGACAAGCAAAAGAAAAAAATAAAATTAATGGAGAAGGATTTGTTTCCAGGCTCGTAGGTAGCTTGGTCTATCTATCGGTCCTTGCGAAGAAAACTTGTGTTAAACGTACGATTGTTACCATTAACAACGGAAATAATAATCCCATGTTTGGTGATGTGGAGGAGTTCCATTCGTAGCCAAATACCGATGGCGTGGTATTTCCTCCGGTTTGTAGGACAGTCTTAATGCAGCCCTCAGTTATAATTCATGGATTAGTTACCGCAAGGAGCTATAAAGAAGACGTTCACGATGCGAGAGTAATGCGTCTTTTCGCCCATAAATTGTTTCTTGCGATAGTGAAGCTATTATTCATCAGTTTATGCGGTACGAAATGGTCCTTATCATTAGCGAAACAACCTGTTTTTAAAAAATAGTGATCACTAAATCTTGAGTCCATCCAAGGATGTCCTTTTCAGCTCTCCGGTACAATGGCGAATATCTTCCCAGGGGTGGCTAAATTAATGTCAAACGTTTGAAAGCGCGATAGAAAATTGATCTCTGATGACGTGGAAACGCATTCAAGACGAACCACTGCTGCGGTATTCGCTCCCTTTTGTGGGACAATTTTATCGTAGCCAGGGGGCATATTTCACGGATAGTTCGCGCGTGAACGTATGAAAAATACAGCTACAATGTTTTCCGAGAATTTGTTGCGATCGAGGCTAGGACTTATGAAACACTTTGGTTGCCGCAAATGTTCCTTTTTTTCAAAGAGCACTTAAATTATTAAGACGATGACGACTGCGTACGACAGAATTGTTAATGCTTTTAATTCAATGAAAATATCAGGGATAATCGTTCGGTAGTTAATAACGTAGAAGACTCGTAATTTACTGAGTCCGTGAAGTTTGCTCCGGTTTATAGGACACCTCCAACGTAGCCCTAGGGCTTGTTTCATAAATAGTTAGATAATAGTGCTCGGACGTGGGCGTATGGAAAATATAGCTGTAATATCTTCCAAGGATTCGTTACGACCGAGGCTACGTCTTCAGGATAATACAGTCGTGGTGTACTGGTCCTTGAAGAACCAGAGAACACTCGTGTGCTCGAGTTGACGATCGTCAACTGAAAGTAGAATGCAACAGAACGAGAACAAAATTGTGATCGTAAAGTTGATGTTCCTCTATCAGTGACTTTCAATGCATCAGAAACAAAACTAACAAAGCAAAGTGTTTCTTGCGCGGTTTCTTTCGCTCATCCGACGTTCGAAGATTCTCTGCGGAATCGTGGAAACGTTTACTCTGACCACAGCCTTTCCCACAGGCTCGTTAACAGCTCGTGTATCAGTACCGACGAAGACGAACGTCCCGCAATTATTACGTATTACAGCTGCGCCTCAAAATCCTATCATCCTCTTCTCGTGGCATAATCCGGCTGCATGCGCGAAAAATCGAACGTACGTGTCGTCCATGTGCAAACACACGCGCCCGGTTACGTACATTTTCGCGTGCGTGAGATATATCCGGCCGTTGCTACGGTGATTTATCCATGCCTTTGGTGATAAAGCATTGTGCAACGGATAGTGTTCTGGCCGAGTAAAATGGCGAATCAGATAAAGAAGTGCGCTTCCCCCTTCCAAGAGAGAAACCCATAAATCAGACGGGTGTCCGTGTGTTCGAGTATGAGATATCCGAATGAAGGCGAACGCGCGTTTATTAATTAAACCGCGTAGATAAAGTCGCGTAACGGTTCGCGGGGTATCGGTATCATAGTTCCGCGGTATCCTCTATCTTAGGGCATTGTTACCCCGTTGATGCGGCCCGCTACGATTTTTCATTCGCGTTGGACAAATGTCCGCCATCGTGTACGCGTTATTCACCGCGATACCGTGCACCGTGTTCCTTATCGCCTCTTGCGTGCTAGTTTTCCGATGAAACATCATCATACGCGACCAGGGGATACCGTTAAAGTGCTTGTTCGATCCGAACGAACGCGTGCGGCGGTTCAAAGGGTGCGAGATGGATCACTCTCGAATGAAGACATATTCCCAGCCCGAAGCGTAACGCCGTTTACAGTTGCTCGATGATGCTTCTTTTGGTCTTTCGCGAATCTACGTGCCATATGTTCGCCGATAAGTATTTGGACGATGGAATTTGTTCGCGATAAAATAGAAAGACCCCGTGGGTACTTATACGCGAGCCGTTTATCATCCAAGTTCTGCTACTCCATTTATCTATGTTAAATCACACGTCAATATATTACAATGGTGGCTAAAACGTATAGGACTCTTTTCAATTTTTATTACGATTGTTACTGAGTTTATTAAATCTAAGTATTGTTTGCAATTGACGAGTCGATATCTAAAAGAATTAACACGAATTTTAAATATTCAATTCTTCTGCCATTAACATGATTTCAGACCATTGTAAGCTACATAACCTAATATTTGTTTCAGTACTTATTTTTGTAACCTTGTTAAAATTCATAAATTCTATCCAAATTTATTTTTTTCAGCGTCTTAAATTGAGAATTAATTTGTTCTAGTATCAGTCAAAGTGTTAATGAAAGAACAATTAATTCCATTGGGAAATTGTTAGAAAATATATTGACTGAGACAATGACATGAATAAAATACTGGTGAATACATAGGTTGAGATATAATAAGGGTGAAAGAAAAACAAACCAAAGCTAAATCTATTAGCCAACTTAAGAGTAAAAGGTCTTTCGAGCCTACTTGACACGTATTTATATTAAAAGAAAAGGAATGGATTTAGTTTGGATGTTTGATGAAAAAAATGACAAGTCTACGCCCACTTTCGAGCATAAAACTCTCGAATGGACAGCGGACGTAAACGTGCGTCGAGTAGTCGTCGGCACAATAGTTTTATGCGCATCAGACCTTGCGCATCACGTACGCTTAGAAAGGGACCGCTTCTCCGCTCGTAGCGTGGCCAGGTTTTTCTCGTCAGAGTGTACATTTGGCGAGGCCATTAGCTATGAATGTCGCACCGTAAGTTTACGATACGTCAATTACTATCGAGGACGAGGCAACAAGGTACTAGAAGCGCACGTGGTCGCCAAAAGCGTATTTTGTCGCGATTAAACTAACTCCGGCGATTTCTAAACTTTTTGCGCGATCCACCCTCCCTCTCGAGGAGGATAGAAAATTTCTGCGCCATTAAATTACTGGGAAACTATGTTTTACACTGTTTTTAAATCGAAGAACACGTTTCTTTAATTATTGTCAAAATTAATCCTCTTCAAAAACAGGAATTTTTATTGGTCCTTTCACAACTTCATACTGTACCAAATTTATTATTTCTAAATAAAAATAAGAATTAATTAGTTAAGCATGTCTTTTACAACTTCTATAATTTTTGGGATTTAAACGCTTCGTGACAAATACAGATGAACTGTAAAATGTTATACTATTACACGAAAGAAAATGTGTTGTGTTTGTAATCGAATGGTAAACGGATGAGCCACCGGTTTTACCGGAAGGCGATATTTCGTTCCCGAGCGCGTCGAGGTGCATCAAACAACGTCGTATCATTGTCTGACTATAAGGGAGCTAATCCCCTTATAAAATTGTATTATGCAAACGAAGCCTCCCGAAGCTTGCGCGGCTGGGACCAAAGTTTCAAGGCGATACCTTACCTTCGTAAGACTCCGCCGAGGAGACTCGCGTTCAAGCATTCCGGTGGCGATAGTCGTCTTTGTACCTCGGCTACCGTAACTTTGTACTTGCTGGTGCTGCTTAGTAACGATAATCGTCCTGGAACCGAACAGAACACGTCCGAAGGTTGCGCATTCCCACTCAGCATCGCCTTCTCGCTCCTGTCCGATGGTTTCATGTCTGCAACAGTGGAGCACACCGACGTTTGTAGCGGCGAATCACTCGTTGGATCGATTAAAAATCAATTAACGCGCGTGCTAAGTGTCGAGGAACCAGAGGTCGAACAATTCAATCCGTGTCTAGCGTTGGATCGCGTCGAAGCTCGATCGAACAATTGCAAACGTCATGGTGATGATATTTTCTACATTTGTGGTTATAAATTATCAGAATGTGGGTCGTCGGGGAATTTTTGATTGGCTTGAAGAATTGTTAAAGAATTTAATTCATAAAGAATGTACTTTATGATCGAGATTTGATGATTCTATAGAAGTCTTTTCGAGAACAAAAAAATAACGAAATAAATTATTGCGTGTTCCGCGAAACGTTCTGAAATTAAGTACATCCTGTTGATAAAAGGAATGCAATAATCCTCTTAAGATTACTGTACAATGTTTCCGTAAAAGGTCAAAGGTTTCAGCGACTAGTAAGGAAGGAATACCGAAACCGAAGGTTCTTCTGAAATTACGTTATCCCGGTCGCTGTGTAGGTGCATAACCGTGATCAGAGGCAATATCTTCGCGAAATATTTTAAATTCACCGTACCCGTCCCGTTTTCATTCCTATGCACCGATAGTCCAGCATTATTGCATCGTTGCCCTGGAATGCTTAATATAGGGCCGCGGGGATCGGACAAAGCCGTGTTATTACAAGGCGAATCGATGGTCAACTTATAACTTGAAACTCTTCATCGTCGGTTCGTTCGATCATGAGGTACACCTATGGTTTATGGTTGTTTAGGGGCGACGCGAGTTTCGAACCTACAAGCTTGAAATTCTTAGACGAAACCGTTGCAATACAAGCTCGAATATCCTTTTTTTAAAACTTATTCGATATATTAAAAAATTCCAATAGCCTCGGATCGATCGAATGAAAGCAACCCGGATAACTGAAATTCTATTATACATCCATCTTCTCCAAACATAGCAAGTATAATAAATAAACAAAAAAAGGAGGGAAATTCAGACCAGAACAAGCCATTTATTATTTCCAATACTTTGTAGGCAGTGTTCAGAACTACCAAAAACTGATAGTTTAAAGTATAATAAGGAAAACTTAAATTACACAGTGAGGAACTACCGAGAGAAAGATAGGTATAAACTGAGAAAATAGTTAAATATTTTACGATTTTCTATAATAACTATCAGGGGTATACTTATTTAAGCTCTGAAAGTCTCTCTTTCGTAGAGTAACTAGTCTCAAACGTACACTTCTTTGTTCTGTGGTTCTTGTTGAAATATGGAAATACCAAAGACTGAAAGTAGATTGAAAAACTGGTCCTGCTCCTTCTACCGATCTCGTTATTAATTCGCTGGAAAGAAAATCCAGCGAGGAATGTACACGATTTTAATTTTTCCCTTCGAAACTGCACCGTGAAATTTTCTATTCTGCGCGCCGCGCGTACGAGATCGTACTTCTTTGCGCGAAAAACGATCGCGATTATCGCGTGATTCGAATATACACCGCGAAACGTAGACTTTGCTTAACATTTGTATTCATGAAAATCTAAGACGGAGAGACAGCGACCGGTGAGAGAGGGAAAGAGGAAAGGAGTGCAAACAAGTTGTCAAGTAGAATCAATCCACATTGAAGTCTCGATCGGTCGGGTCAAACGGGTAATAAATTTCTACGCGAACCAAATAGGTCGACGTGGGTTTGTTCCGCGCTTATAAATTGTAATCTCGAGAATGAAGCGGTAGAAAATCGTGTAACGGTCCGCCGGCTGACGATAGCGCTGACAATTTGGTAGTAGAGAAAAAACTTGTGTTTCGGTTCGGAGTTACATTGATTTATCGACAGCTTTTACGATGTAACACGGTCGAATTACATATTTTATATATTATCGAATTAGTTCCTTGTTAACGCTTACTGGAAACTTCAAAGACCAATCAAACGTAAACCTCTTAAATTTTGATCGTTGCAAGTACTTGACGTAATTTTTTGTGTCTTCAAAACCCATAAAGATTATATACTTTTGGCTCGTGTTGAATTCAATTAATTTTAATCAGGTTTTGATTAGAGAAATTTTTATTCTGTAATAAAGCGTACGTTTAAATTCAGGATCGCCAAGAACTTGATTCATCACGATCAGAAAGTGAAAAAGGAAAAATACAATCACGAAACATTGTAAGTTATCTCTGTCCGTCATCTTTATCTGTGTAACGGTACTGAAAGGTGTATTAACTTATTTAATGGGAATAACTCATGCTTTGCTTACGTTAGCCGTAAAACGTGTAATTATCGAGGGTCGTTTTAACCTTTCGCCGCGCGAATTGTGAAACCGTCTCACTCATCGACGGATCTGTTATCGATCGTTCGATCGTGAGTTAATTACAAAAGCATGTTATCCGTTAATTCAGCATGCCAGCCAATAAGAATAAACTATCCTGTGACATTTTTAGCGGCGCGAGTTTTCAGGGAAACTTGATATCATGGTAACCGCGAGTTTCCATACTCGTGGATGCAAAAGTTTCATTATCGTAAAAAATGTTGTCTCGGAATGCATTCACGTTACCTAAGAAGTTGATTCCGACAAGCAAATTATAAGGAACTGTACCAACGATACGTATTGAAATCTATTCTTAGCAATTTGTAGCGTGACAGGTGTTCTCGACAAATTTCTTATATTAAACTTGTTATTAGACTTTTTTATTCTATTTCTTTCCGTTTGTTTGTGTTAAAGTTCAAGTCGACACGTCTTAATACGTTCGAGAATTAACATTTTAGTGTATTATTTCCTATGTCTTCGCTATACAATACACACTACTATAAATTATAATTTTATTTACGATTCTGTAATAGTTTCAAGCAAATAGAAAGAAAATATATACACCAAACATTTCTGAGAACAGGATTAACAAAATTAGAACTATCATTAATAACATCGCGGATATACCGTACAAAAGTCAGTCTTCCAATTACATAAATTCTATAGAAACCGTGTTATACGGAACATTTCACGTGCTAGGCCCGAAGCTTGGCACGAAAACTAATTATTTCATCTGGACAGTCAACGCGGGCATTAATAACGTTACACAAATGAGTGACACGAGAAATTTGTCTACGTCGAACAAGTGCAACGAAATTAAAATGAACCTTGACCCCTCTTTAATATTGATTAGATCTTTCAATGGCGAAAGGTATGATGAAACGACGACGGTTGAGAAACTGGGGGAAACGCGAGACATTGCACGATATTTATCGGGATTAAAATCCAACGTCGTAAATCCCTCGTACGAATTCGGAATTTGTCGGCTAATGAGATTTTCAGTCATCTTTCACGTTACCCCGGAACGGCCAACCGTACCCGGGGAGCCTTTAGCGTGAATGTATTCGCGGCAACATCCTCGCCACGGCATCCCGGCGCTGCCGCCGTCTTGTTTTAGTCGAGATAACGTCTAGGAAGTCGCCACTAGATAATTTGTCACTCGAGAAACGTGGATATATTACCGTCCCCGTTGAAACAAAAGTGCCAAGAGGCTCGGTCACGACTGCTAGAACCGTGAAAACGTGGCTTCCACGGTGTACTGCTACGCCTGTGTTAATTACCGTACACGCGGTACGACCGATAATTAAAATAAGAGAGTTCCTGGCAATAGCGATTTCAATTACCACGAGTCGATACCTCGATCCCAACGGAAGTTTCCAACCTTTCTATGAAATCGCTCGAACGAATTCCATCGTCCCTAAACGATCGCCTATTCGACTCGTTCATACGATCTTAAAGAACTCCGAAATTGTTATAAATCAAGGATATTATTATAGAAATTCTCTGTTAAATTAACTTGCAGTGTGATTAATTGAACGTATCCTTGCATATTAAGTGGACTTAGGAATCGTTCGAGTCGAGTTTATCGTTGCGATTTCTTAACGAATTCCATCCAAAGTTTGATAGGCAAGGATGTGAATAACAAATATGGAGTGAAATTTTTTGATACGACGCTCTGATTTCGAAAAAATTAGCTTTGAATATCACAAAAGTGTCTGTCCATTGCTGGTCATTTCTACTTGTGTCAGTGTTCTCAAACATCGTTATCATCTGTTTCACGTTGATTTTTCCATCTTCCAAGCAGTTATAATCAACATTTAAATATATCAATACAAATAGAAATAACAAGCATTGGGCAGAGTATTTGCAAATATTTTATTTCACGCTTTTCATAAATCCGAATACAACGAAAACTCGATATATGTCACTACTCCGGGTCCGGTCAAGAACACTTATGGAATAGGAGAATTGTTTTTCGAATTTGATTGCAGTTTGCCGACGCCTCGAACATAGAAAGAGCCAGTAGCTAAAGAAGAAAGAGGATTTATCGCCCCAGTTTAAATATTACACATTACATTTCTGAAAATATTTCAGTTTGCACAAAATCTGAAATTGTGTGCCAAAACGTGTTCAATTTCGAGTGAAATGACTCAGTGGAGTTAGGGAAAGGTATTTAATAACATGTACGTACTGGTATCTTCGCAAGGTCAGTGGATAGTACATTTATCGAACAATGGTAGCTAACGAAACCTCCTATCTCATAAGTGTTGCAGTTTCTGATCACTCACGGGACAGCGGAAGCGTTCCGTTTGAAAATAGCTACCTTCTATTCGATAAGTGTACCCAGCACATCAATTCGACGTTCTTTGATGTTTTCGGAGATAGAAAAGGACATCACAAGAAGGACAAACAAAGAGAGAAAGACTCTCAAGTACAATATTTAATTCAATATTATGCTAACAAATATTGACCGATTTATATCGTGTTTAGTTTTATTTTAATTAGAAAAATCCCCCCCACACGATAGTAAAATTTGTATTAAAAAAAAAATTAAAAATTAAAAACTTTCTTCTTGTACAGTAGTGTGGTCACACTGTCAGGGGCATTTAAACGAAGATGACGAAGGTAATAAAGATTTTTAAAGAAAGCCACTACGTCTAAAATGTATCATTTACGGAACAGCTCTTGAGGACAT